CAATTGCATTCTTGGGTATTTACCCCAAAAATACAGACATAGTGAAAAGAAGGGCCATCTGTACCCCAATGTTCATAGCAGCCATGGCCACGGTCATCAAATGTGCAAAGAGCCAAGATGACATTCAACACATGAATGGATAAAGAAGCTCTGGTCCATATATACAATGGAATATTGTGCCTCCATCAGAAAGGAGGAATACCCAACTTTTGTATCAACATGGATGGGACTGGAGGACATTATGCTGAGTGAAATAAGTCAAGCAGAGAGAGTCAATTATCATGTGGTTTCGCTTATTTGTGGAACATAAGGAAGGACATTAGGAGGAGAACACTAGGAGGACATTAGGAGAAGGAGAGGAGAAGTGAATTGGGGGAAATTGGAGGGGCATATGAAGCATGAGAGACTGTGAACTCTGAGAAAGAAACTGAGGGTTATAGCAGGGGGTTGGGGGTTCGGTGAGTCTGGTAGTGGGTATTAAGGAGGGCACGGATTGCATGTAACACTGGGTGTGGTGCATAAACAATGAATCTTGGAACACTGGAAAAAAAACTGCAAAAAAAAAAAAAGAAGAAAAAAAGAAGAGTTGCCTTGCCTTCCTTGAGGAGAAACATTGTTTCACAAACATATCATCTTTCTGTTCTCCTCTGAATATAATCCCTTTGGAAATTTTAAATCGTACCTCCTCCTTCATAAGTCACAGTGACACAGAAGTGTCACCTCTTTGAGCCTCATCTTTCTCATTCCCATACTTAAGAACTTGTTTTTTTCTTGTGAAACTGTCTGACATCATTGAAAACAGTGCAGGAAAAACAAATTTTCCTCTCCTCACATTCATTCTGTTGTGTGAACTGACCTCCATGCTTCAGACCCAGAACAGAACATGCAGACAGAGCTGGGTATCAAGGGCAGCCAGAGCTTCATTGCTTTGCCAGCCAAAGAGGCCTCAGCAGGTCAGGGCCATGAAACCTGCAGCCCACCCAGAGGAAGGGGCTGGGGGTTTGTAGGGAAATACGGGATAATGGCTGATTTCCAGAGGAATTGTGTCTGTGTTGCCAGCCCTGTTCATCATGTTGTCGGGGTGGAACCAGGTCCCTGCAGCCCGCGGCTCCGATGCTGACGCTGTAGGTGTGAGTGGCGGTGGCAGGGGACCCCTCCCTCCCCACAAAGCAGGTGAGGAAAATGCAGGGATGGGTGTCCTCACGGGAGCTCACAGTTTCCGAGCTGCTCTTGACACAAAGGACTGAAAGTTGGGCCTTTTCTGCATCTCCGAGTCCTGCCTGCGGGCAAGCGGTGTGAGGAGAAGGAGCTCTGCTGCTGAATTTCAGGGCGTTTTCTCCTGATGCAGCTGTGATTCCCCCAGATCCCTCATGAGGACGAAATCTAGAGGTGGAGGCAAAGGCAGAAATGGCCGGTTCTCAGCTGAGCCTGGTGTCCCCGCGGAGCCGTGTCCTCTGTTTCTCCTCAGACCCTCGAGTTTAGAAGCTGCAGATGTGGATGCCTCCAGTGTGGGTGCTTCTCGCTTCCACATTCACCTGTTTTTAAGATCTGGTCAGAAGTGATACTCAGGGTTAGGTCTTTAGAATGCTTCTCTATGTCCCAGAGCCTTCTGTCCTGTCCCCAACCTGCCTTCAATAGGCATCAGCCGTTATCACTTTGAATTAAAGTCCTGTGAGGAGTGACAATATTCCGTTGGTGGCAGATCCGGAGGGAAAGGTGTCAAGTCCGAGATTCCTGCGGCTTATGAGGTCTGGTCCTGGGATATCAGGGAGGGAAATCATTTCTCATTTGGGCTCATCTGGATTCTGGATCAGCTGTGTGCAGCCGGGGAGGAAGGAAATGCAGACAGAAGCTCGGTGGGTATGAGTCCAGAAAAACTTGGAACATTCCTATTCTAAAAACGGGTGTGTGTGTGTCTCCATCTTTAGCATGTGAAAGAGATATTCTACTTAAAATGCACTAGAGGAGGGTGCCTGGGGGTTCAGTCAACTAAGGTTGGACTGTTGGTTGAGCTCAGGTCAGGATCTCAGGGTCCTGGTCTGGTATCCCCGCTCCTGGCTCTGTGCCCAGAGGGGAGTCCGCCTGACATTCTCTCCCTCTCCTGCCCGCATCCATCTCCTCTAGAATATAAATCAGTCTTGGGGACCGAGGGTGTTTCAGTTGGTTAAGAGTCTGCTTTCTGTCTCCAGCTCAGGTCATGATCCAGGGGTTTGGGATTCAGCCCCACATTGGGCTCCTAGGTGGGCAAGGGCCCTGCTTCAATGTTTTCTCTGCTGCTCTGCTTGTTTGTGCTGTCTCTCTCACTCTCTTTGAAATAAATACAGTCTTTTTAAAAAAATTTATTTCTTTGAAAGAGAAAGAGTGAATGCACAAGTAGGCTGTGCTATGGACAGAGGCCAAAGGCTCCCTGCTGAGCAAGGATTTCCACCCTCCCTCCCGGCCTCCACTGCAATGTAGGAGGCATTCCCAGGACCTTGTGTCTTGGCCTGAGCAGAAGGCTGATGCCCACTGACTGAGCCACCCAGTTGCCCCTATAAATAGAGTCTTTAAAGAAGACAAAAATAAAAATAAATCTTAAAAATTAAAAGAAAAGAAAGGCATAAAGTAGTTATTACTAGCACAGGGACACTGTGCTATCTCAGTGCAATGTCTGTGTCAGTCGCATGGGGCCCCAGATGTGGGTCCATGATTAGCGGGAAGCCAGTTCCACAGGGCTGCTGGAATTCCCGTGAGGCAGGACAAAGGCTGCGGAAGTTTCCTGAATATCTAAGAGATGAGCCAGCAGGAGGGCACTGGAGAGCCTGTCTGAAGAGGGGGATTTCCTTAAAGGGAGAAGGAAGGTGAGGAGTTCTGGGGAACCAGAAACTTGCTCCTTTCTGCTCACTGTACCTGGATGTCAGAAGTCCATTGGTTCCTTAGACTCTTGGGAATTCTAAGGTGGGTCCCCTGATGGCCCTGTCTGGACTCAGCCAAGGGGACACTGGGGCCCTTCCACCACTCCTTTGCTCAAGCCTGCTTGCCTAAAAGCAGAACCTACAGAAGGAAAGTGTTTGATTTGTGTATGTATATCCACCATATTTGCATAATTAGATTTACATTCTGAATTCCTGCTTTCAGTCCACAGGAAAATACCAGTGATGGTGTGTCCTTTCTTGTGTATTAGACACTGAAAACAATTTGTTTCAATTCAGCTGATGTGAACTTCTTTTATTGGCTTGGTTCTGTCTGCCAGATCCTCCCCTGTAACGTTCCTATTTTCTCTCCTGTCATTTGTAAGGAACATGGGATACTGAGGAATATGCAGGAACTATCGCTGTTATGCCCCAATAATGGGTCCGTGATTAAAGGAGCAAGACTGATATAAAGCCACGGTCAAGCAAAGCTTTATTTTGTGCCAAGCATCAAGAATCTAACAGAACGTTCTGGGCTGCAGCTCTTACAAGAGAGGGCGACCCTTCTCTGTTTCACAGTCTAGCTCTTAAGGGCAGAAGCCATACGGTCAGGCCTGGCCACGCACAGGTGACCAATGAGATTGTAACACACTCAGGAAACTCCATAGTGATGCTGGGTGACCAACTGAGTTATTTACCCTAGTAGACATTCGACCCAGCCTATTACACCTTGATTAGGAATGGCACCAAAAAGGGTTCCCAAAGGGTGGGTGCCCCTACTCCTTGGTAGCTAGGGAGAGAGTATGCAACCCCCTACTGATCAGATGTCTCCACCTGGCCTGACTCACTCTTTTATCTGGGCTTTGTTACCTGAAGCTGGTTTCCGGGACTTGTTTTTAAGTGAATCCCATGGGTGAAGGGAAGCATCTTGCTAAATAGGTCCTTAAAATCCCATTTCAGGTGTAAACTTCTTTCTTCTGCTTTTCTCTTGCTTGTAGGTTCATTCTTTCTCTTTCTTTCCTTCCTTCCTTCTTTTTTCTTTCTTTCTTTCTGTCCTTCTTTTACACATTTTCTCAGCTGAGGGACAGAGAGAGAACACAGGAGTGAGGAAATGGAAAGAAGGAGAAGCAGATTCCCCACTGAGTGGGGAACCCAACTCAGGGCTCCATCCCAGGATTCTGGGATCATGACCTGAGCTGAAGGCAGACCCTTAACCAACTGAACTATCTGGCTCCCCCTTGCTTGTAGTTTCTGATGAGGAGAATAAAGTCAAAGGATGAGTGAATAAAATTAAATTTCCTTCAACTTCCAGTCTGTTGGTAAATACCTGAGAAAGGCAGAGTAGGACATTCCTCAGGGAACTCACAACTGCCTCAAGGTTAATGTTTTTTTGGATGCAAAAAGCAGCCTTAGCCTAACAGTAGACCTCCAGGATCCTGTAATGCCTCTTTAACCTATGAAAATTGCTTTGGAAACTTCCTTGAACTCTATTCCCTAAATGTAGCTTGGCCACCATCCTTCAAGCTTGTGGCCCACTGATAGATATCTGGAGGGTCTCCTGACTAAACTGTTACTAAACAGTGAGTGGCCTCATCAAAACACCAGCTGGAAGGCCTTGAGGGTCCTGGAAACTTGCTTCCAAATTCCTTTGAGCCTCCTGCTAACCCTCACCCCCTCCCCACCTGAAAGCATAGAACCAGTCATTGCTCACGTTCCTCTCCCCTTGCTTTAGGACCACAGTGTTTGTACCACGGGTATCTCAACAATCCTTTCTTCATCATTTACTCCAGAGCCCCAGTATTTCACATCAGAAACATGTCTAGAATTTCTTGACCATTGGCTCCTCTCCCACATCCCAATACTTTGCACTGGACAAGGAGGGCTGTCACCTCTGTGTAGTTGACAGAGTTGACTTCTGGGAGTGAAAGGAGTGAAAGTTCTCAACCAGGCAGCCCCCTGCCCCATAGGTTTTCTTTCACACTCATACCATGGAGATGAAAAGGTCAGGTCTGGGTCTAGCTGGTGACACTAACTTCCTCTTCATCTTAGGGACCATCTTAGGGGCACAGTTTGTCAATGGTCACTTGGTGACTGTGGTTTTTGTTACAGGGACTGCTGACCTTCAGGGATGTGGCCATAGAATTCTCCGAGGAGGAGTGGGGATGCCTGACCCACACTCAGCGGCAACTGTACAGGGACGTGATGTTAGAGAACTATGGACATCTCCATTTCTTGGGTGAGGAAGACTCCTTCCAGGTTTCCAAAGCCCCACACAGGGTTTTGTTCCTTCTTGTGAAGACTGCCTCTTGGGAGATTTCGCTTGGAATGACTGGATTCCAGATCCAGGCAGAAAGGGAAAAAAGTAGGGGTTTGTGGATGGAGAGACAAATCTTCATGATGTTTCCTTTTTAGCCTCAGCTTCTCCTTCCTCAAGGTAACATCATGGCTTGTGAAGATGAGTGGCAGTTCTCAACATTGAGTGACATAGAATGGTGCTGCTTACATCTGAAACTGAAATTTCCCCTTCTTATTATCATGTCTACTACTTGGAAGTGGAGGTCAGGATGTGAACATTGGAAATGCCTCCAGTGTGTTCTAAATGGACTGTTGGGCAACAGCTTTTGGGAAACCATTTTCTAGAATTGTCCATCATTTCTACTCTACTGAACACAAGACTCATGGAAAGTTAGAATGGGCAGCAATGGTCATTTTCCTTTTTCCTCATAAACAGGTCTCCTCCTGTCAGAGCCAGACCTGATCATGTTTTTGGAGCAAGAGAAGAAGCTATGGGATGTGAAGAGAAAGGAGACTGGAGGCTTCCAACCAGGTGGGTGGGAATGGGTGAGGCAGGTGACAGAGGGGACGTCCAAGTCTTAAGGAGGAAGGTAGACCTTAAGCTGTGGTTCGAGTAGCTCTCCTTGAAGGAATGTCCGTGGGAGACATGCCCAGATTTATGTCTCTGTCTCTCTCAGAGGGACATCTGCTCTTCAACTAGGCTAAAGTCTTTGTAAATTCTGGTTCATCATGAGACAAGTAGGTCAGCATCGATGTATGCACAGTGGGGTTTGGTGCAGAAATTTCTGTTATTCCCCAATAATGGGTCTGTGATTAAAGGAGCGAGACTGATACAAAGCAAAGGTCAAGCAAAGCTTTATTTTGAGCCAAGCATCAAGAATCTAACTGAACGTTTGGGGACGCACCTCTAACAAGAGAGGGCAACCCTTCTCTGTTTCACAGTCTAGCTTTTAAGGGCAAAGGCCATGCGGTTGGGCCTGGCCACGCACAGGTGGCCAATGAGATTGTAACACACACAGGAAACTCCACAGTGATGCTAGGTGACCAATTGAGTTACAATTTACCCTAGTAGACATCTGAACCAGCCTATTACACCTTGATTGGGATTGGCGCCCAAAAGGCTCCCAAAGGGCGGGGCCCATACTCCTTGGTAACCAGGGAGACGGTATGCATCCCCCCCCACTGATCGGATGTCTCCACCTGGCCTGACCCACCTTTGTTTCTGGGCTTTGTTACCTGAAGCTGGTTTCCGGGACTTGTTTTTAAGTGAATCCCCTGGGGGATGGGGAGCAGGGACAGTTTCTAAATAGGTCCTTACATTTCCAGAACACTGGAGACAGATTTCTAATGTTCTCTGCCTTGGCTTTCTAAGGTTGGAGGCTTTAATATTAGTCTTAAACAAAGCAGAGATTTAGTAACTTCATCAGATAACATAGCACTGCTCTAAAATGAGAAAATATACTGCTTTATTTCCCTTCAAGTGTTCTTTTTTCTTATTTCTTTTCTTCTTCTTCTTCTTCTTCTTCTTCTTCTTCTTCTTCTTCTTCTTCTTCTTTTTCTTCTTCTTCTTCTTTTTTTACCTATAGAAACTTCCAATCTTTGAGTTCTGTTCCTCAGTGGTCTAATAGTGCAATGTCTCTCTTTTTTTCCTAGAATTCCTACATAACAAATGCTATTGGGGGACTAGCACATTTAGTACTTGGACTTGTAGCCTTTAATAAAGTTTAATTTATTATCTCATTTGTTAATAACTGCATCATGATTCTGTCTTCTGTGAACTTCTTGCGACTTTGTCATGTGTGTTTTCACTTTCTGATTAGTTCTATATGTGATTTAGCTCTATATTTTGTACATCAAATGTCCTGATACAACATGCACATGTGCTTTTTAAGTAGTGAGTTAGACAATTAGTAAGATTCCCATATATTTTGTTTAAAAATTTTATTTGTTTGAGAGACAGAGAGAAAAAATGAATAGGGAAAGGGCAAAAGGAGAGGGAGAAGCAATGTCCCTGCTGAGCAGGGAGCCCTGGATACAGGAGCCTAAGCTCATGACCTGAACTGAAGGAAGCTGCTTAACTAATTGAGGCCCACAGGTACCCTGAATCCCCATGTTTGGAAAATCCTTTTTTTCAATAATGCGATGTTATTTCTGGGAAATTAATCATGAGCTTTTTCTTCTACTTTCCTCAGAATGTATCAGAATTTAACCCCAAATACTAATTTCATATAGATGTCTCTCAGCATATTTTTCAATTTCCATGGTGTTAATATACTGAGAAATGAAGAGGTTGTTTGTTTCCTCTGTCTTACAGAATGGATTATAGGGTTACATTCTGTGCAGGAGGGGAAATATATTAATAACGTAGTACATTTCTTTCAAGCTTTTTAAGTGTTCATAAAATTTTCATTTACAGCTTTTTATAATTGATTTTAATGAGAATTCTTTACGATGTTATAGTTCAGGAAGACATGCCAATCAAAAGCTTGTTTTTCATGGGTACGTGGACACAGTTTTAAATTATGGTTTTATGTAAGTTTTCCTTTTCTGTCAGACATCAATGTTTTATTTAGAATTTCTTGGGTTGAGTTTCGTCTTACTCTAATTTGGTAATTTCCTAATAATGTGTTTCTTGTGTCTGGCTCATTCCACCATATTCGTTAGGTGTGGATTCAGTCTTACCTGTGTGTTTTGTTACAGGAAGGGAATTTTCAGCTCAGTATATTTCAAGACCATGTGAGCATAACTCAAAAAAAATGATGTTTATGTTTTTTCCTGGTAAATTTTGTGTGTCTTTGTCTTGTGTTTGTATGTCACACATACATACTGTGTGACCCCTACTTTTTATCTCCTTGGTGAGTGGTCAGTGAATGTTGTACCATGTCTAGGTGAGTTATCATCAACATAGAATTCATTTCACCGTGTTTTTCTGGGTGAATTTTTATTCTCTCTGCATGAGAGAAAGACTGTTTTGAATTCAAAGTAATTTTCAAACTATACTATTGTATCATGTTTTGGTATGAAATATGAAAGATATATTTTATCTGTAATTGTAAGATGAATACCCATGATATGCCTTGGTACCTTTCTCATTGCCTTTTGTATCTTCTGGGAGTATTTTCCTTGTGGTTACCCTAGAGATTCCTTAAAACAATATTGTTGTAAAACAGTTTAAAACTCAGTGTCAATTCCATTGGAATTCTTCTTCCTGTCTCTACCCCTGCACCCCCCCACTTCGATGATACAAATTCTTTTATGTTGTGTACTTTATGACCTACATTTGTGATTTTAATACTTTAAAAAAAAAAAAACAAAGCTCTGTAGCAGAAATAAACGTGACTGGTATCTCATTACAGCACTACAGGTTTGTGTAATTGTCTACATATTTTTGCTCAGCGGAGAGCTTTGTGTTCTTGTGTGGTTGCAGTTACTGGGTAGAATCCTTTTATTTCATCTACAGAGTGTTCCTTTAATGGTTCTTGTAGGACAGGTGTACTGGTAAACATAGAGGGATCTTTACCTGGGAATGTCTTCATTTCTACGTCTGCGGAAAAGAGTTTTGCCCGGTAATGTATTCTTGGTGGTATTTTTTGATCTTTCAGTACCTGAGTGCATTATGCCACCCCATTCTTGTTGGGACTGCTGGGATCCCACTGCTGCTCTTCTAGGAGCTCTTGCACAAGGTGAAGTGCATTTGCCATGCTGTTTCAAAAGTCTCTTTTCATCTGTGGTGTTTGATGGGTTAATTACAACATGTCATCAATCTTCCCATTCTTTGTATGTGGTCTGCTGTATATACCATAGTTTTATAAGGAAGTAATTTGAAGGGTGCCTGGGTGGCTCAGTGGGTTAAAGCCTCTGCTTTCATTTCAGGTCATGATCCCAGGGTCCTGGGATCAAGCCCCACATCGGGCTCTCTGCTCAGCAGGGAGCCTTCTTCCCTCCTCTCTCTCTCTCTGCCTGCCTCTCTGTCTACTTGTGAGCTCTCCCTGTCAAATAAATAAATAAAATCTTTTTAAAAAAATTTTAAAAAAGGAAGTAATTTGAGGAAATAAAATATTAAGGCAGTCATAGTGCAAAGACATCTACTGTGGTGCACTGGATTTATTAAGATAAACTTGTGTGTTGTAAATGGACCATTACTGATGAAAAGCACATTATTCAATGGTTAACTGTATTTGTTAGTAGACCTGAAAGGATTCAGGGGCAGATGGATCTCTAGAGAGGGACAATTATTTTCAGTGTGATTCGTTTTTTCTTTTGACTCTATTAGTACATGTAGATGAGTGTCCAAAGAAAGCCAGAGTAGCAGAAGATTCATGAGATAAAGCAGCCTTTTATCTTTTCTTTATACTGCTTTGGTATCAGGGTACTGCTGACCTCACAGAATGGTTTTGAGTGTATTTCTCTATTTCAGTACATACAAATTTCTTTTTTATTGCTAAGATTTTGGAAAGGATTGTCATGAATGGTTTTTGCAAATATTAGTTTCTTTTTGTTGTACTGAACTAATGCCCAGGGTTTCTACCTAACAAGTGCTAATTGAACAAAGTCACTAAAAATATAATGATATGGCCTAGTCAGAGAATTCTTAGGGACTCTCAATAAATTTTACCCTGTATGTTTCTCCAGTTCTGTGAGCATAGAGAACACAAGCAGAGTTTTAGGGTTTTTATATGCACAGAATGCAATGTGTTATACGTATATTTTTAAAAGATTTTATTTATTTATTTGACAGAGAGAGAGAGAGACCACAAGTAGGCAGAGAGGCAGGCAGAGAGAGAGGGGGAAGCATGCTCCCCACTGAGCAGAGAGCCTGATGCCAGGCTTGATCCCAGGATCCTGAGATCATGACCTGAGCTGAAGGCAGAGGCTTAACCCACTGAGCCACCCAGGCACCCCTGCAATGTGTTATATTAAGCTAAAGACTGATTTTGGAATCAGAAAACTAACTAGGAAGAAGCATGTGTACATACATATGTGTGTGTACCTATATCTTCAGAAGGAAAAGGAATCTTGTGTGTCTGTGTGTCTGTGTGTGTGTATGTCCCAACACTAATGTGACCACAAGCACAGAGGGTTTCTGAGAGGGACTTCTTTTATTTATTTATTTATTTATTTATTTATTTATTTATTTGACAGACATCACAATTAGGCAGAGAGGCAGGGAGAGAGAGTGAGCACGAGAGGAGGAAGCAGGCTCCCTGCTGAGCAGAGAGCCTGATGCAGGGCTGGATCCCAGCACCCTGAGATCATGACTTGTGCCAAAGGGAGAGACTTAAACTACCGAGCCACCCAGGCACCCCTGAGAGGGACTTCTGTGGGGATAACTCAGCTTGACCTGTGACTTAGTTCTTGCAGAGGTTGTGCAGATTGGCCTGGGTCAGAATCACCAGGAGCACTTACAAGTCTTGGATTTCTATGGCTAAACTTACACTACCATGTCAGTAGCTCTGGGGTGCAGCCACCCACCTTTCCTTTCTTACATAGTCTCAGGTGGCTGTCTAGGGACTAGACATTGAGAACCTGTATATGGGGACACATTCATAGTTGGGTTCTTCAGGGAACTTAGTAGCATGTGGGTAACATAGTGAGATACTCAGGTGTGTAGTCTTGGGTCTCCAGGTGTGAATGTGGACTCCTGTGTTTTGGGCCTTTCCTGTATTGTTCTTTGGATGCCTGACCTTTGTGTCTACTTCTGAGTAGTCAACCTGGAAGCCACTCAGGCTATATATATGTGGTGTGGGCTGGAATGTTGACTTTGAAGTGTCCTTTCATGAAAGCTGTTCTGTGTGAGGACGGCTGCATGGACCATGGAGTGTCAAGGAGGAAAGAGAATCCAAATTGAGGTCACCTTCTAGAAGGGCCTCTTTTTCCTTTGTCCCGTTTGCCTCATGTTAGGTAGGGTAGCCAGATTCAAACCCTGACTCTACATTCCTTTATCTACATCATTTCCTTCAAAATAAATAAATGAAAAAGTAAATCATGTCTTTCAGTTCAAGGAGAATAGTATTAGTCCTAACCCATAGAATCCAGAGCATTGAATACATTAGGAGCAGATTCAGTAACCGTGGGACATACAGTGTATGCAGTGTGCAAAGGAACGTGTCAGACGCTAGTGAATATTTGGATTTTCTTTCTAATGATAAAAAGTAACCCACAAGTCATGTTTCATACTGAATCCTCGCTGAATGTGAATATTGAACCTTGTAAAAAGAAATAGCCTGTGTCCATTTGAAACTTGGAAGTATCTGTCTGATGCCGATTTTCACTGGAATCCTTTGAAATTGTGGTTTTATTCACCATCATCTGAATGTAGCCAACTGTTTGGCATTCCTTCTAGAGGTATCCCATGGACCTCAGCAGCTTCTACTGTAAAACATGTGCGGTCATTTTGGATATAAACTTATTCTCTATGAGCACAGAGGACTAGACATCTGTCCATGGAAACGTGTGGACTCCTGAGTGTCTCCAAAACCTATTCTGGGAACTCCATGATCAGCCGGGGCCAAAGGTGATGCTGAACATGTGGTGGGACTGAAGGCCGTTCTCTGTTGCTCGGCAGGACCATAGGCTGGGTTCTGAGGCTGCCCAGGTGCACTGAGGAGGCTTCCTGCTCATGCAGAGTAAGAGGTTATGCTCAATGCTTGGTCCATGCTCCTGGCTTGGTTTTCTCCCCGGAGGCCTGTTAGAGAGGCTCTGAGGTTGTCTAGGGTCTCTGTTCAGGCTTCCAATGGGGCAGGATTGGAGGCTGGGATCAGCCATGGGAAGTGACTTAGAACTTGCATAGCTACCCAGACAGAGAACAGAGAATGTTCTAGTTCAAAGTGTTGGCTGGACACCCAAGTCAGTCACAGCTGCTGACAAATCTCCTTAGCCAGGTAAGTTCATCTCCTCTCTGCAAGTGGGCAGATTCCCGTGGATCTCTGATTCGCTGCCACTGCAAGTTGGAGCACTGTCTGGTCCGGCAACTCTAAGATCTGAGCACTGGTTGCTGTAAGCGCTGCCCACCTTCTCCGTGTCTATAGGATCCCCAGTGGTCCAGCACCACAGACACCCCCAGGGATCCCCATGAGGTGAGTTCTCACTGGGGAGAGAGTGGTTTGCCCTTTGGGGAATGCTGGATGTCCACTCTGGGCTGTCATTTTCTTTGTGCAGCCATTGTAGTTCCTTCTGGGCCCTCTTAGTGGCGCACTGTGGCCCGGGGAAGGTGCACTGGGATCCACGTGAAATTGCTCCTGTTACCCTTCTAGGGGTGTCCTTCTTGGTCTCTGGGGTCCCAGGGTGCATCAGCCTATGCTTTTGTATTGAGAATCATGCACTGGTGTCTCATGTGAACAGTTGCTCATTGAGCGAAGGTGGAACTACTTTGTCACTATCTTCATTAGGTCCTCCCTCTGTGAGGAACAGTTTTCTCTCTCCTGGGCTAAAAACAGTTGTTTCCCTGTATACATGTATTTGTGGGTATTTTTTTTAATATGTGTGTATGAATTTGCACATATACATGCTTGATATCCAAGAGGTAGTATGTTTAAATCGTGATTTTTTTGATACTGAAACATAACCCTAACAGTGACAAATGGCTTTCATGTTAATGATTGTTCTGTGAGATGTTTATGTTGCCATGCTGCTTATTTGATTGCTTATTACTACATGGGTTGTTTCTTCTTCTGTTTCTTTAAATTTGATCATCCAGTTTTTTATTTCTAGGTAAAGGACAAATGTCGGCTTCTGCGTTGTCCCCATATTTGCAGCTTATGTGATTCTGATGTTTGGCTCCTGGTTCCTACATGGTCATACCATGTCCTACTTTTATCTGTGTTGTTGCTGGTGGGGTTTCTCTCTATTACTACAGAGTTGGGCACTAACTGTTGGCCAATCTCTTTTTCAAAGTGTCTAGTGAGTTCTTGGCCTCATTTTTTTCTGTTATGCCTTTTTCTTCGGTCTTTGTAGTTCTCCATATATCATGAGAATCAGTCCTTTGTATCCTTTCTAATTCTATTTCTATCTCTTGAGCTTGTGATACAGAGATGTTTTTAATTCTTTTTGTAATCTTTTTCTTCATTTCACCATTCATGGTTGGTGTGTTGTTGTTGTTGTTTTCTTCCTGTTAGCAATTTTTTCTTATACCATACCCCAGAGATTGAGTCCTTATGTTTATCAGTCAGAAATGTAGTATAAACTGGGACGCCTGGGTGGCTCAGTTGGTTGAGCAGCTGCCTTCGGCTCGGGTCATGATCCCAGCATCTTGGGATCGAGTCCCACATCGGGCTCCTTGCTCATCAGGGAGCCTGCTTCTCCCTCTGCCTCTGCCTGCCTGTGCTTGCTCTCTCTCCCTCTCTCTCTGACAAATAATTAAATAAAATCTTTAAAAAAAAAAAAAAAAAAAAAAAGAAATGTAGTATAAACTAATGTGCTCTGTGGTTTCTTTAGTGTCTGGGGTTTCCTAATTTTTTTCTCCCTACATGGCTAACAAAATGAAATGTCCTCTGAAAAAGTTGAACCATGTTTTCTTTTTTTTCAAAGATTTTATTTATTTATTTGACAGAGATCACATATAGGCAGAGAGGCAGACAGAGAGAGAAGGGGAAGCAGGCTCCCCAGTGAGCAGAGTGCCCAATGCAGGGCTTTATCCCAGAACCCTGAGATCATGAGCTGAGCTGAAGACAGAGGCTTTAACCCACTGAGCCACCCAGGCGCCCCTGAACTGTTTTCTTTTCATTTCCTTACACAGATCAGTTTTTCTACAGACTTTATTTATTTGTGAGAGAGAGAAAATGAACACAAGGTCAGGAGAGGGCCAGAGGCAGAGTGACAAGTAGACTCCCCACTGAGCAGGGAGTCCCAGGCAGGGCTCTATCCCAGGACCCTGCATCAGGATCCAGTTTTTAGGCAGAAGCTTAACTGACTGAGCCACCCAGGCTTCCCTACACAAGTCGTGTTTTGATATGGATCCACATAGCCAAGATCTTAGATGCTGACTTCTCCTTTGATTTATCTCTCTGTCTTGCTCCTCCTGTGATGTTTTTCAGTCTCCCAGGTGCATACACCCAATGTCAGTTGTGGTGTCATCGATCTTCCATGGGCCTGTGTGCTCAGATGAATGATTATTCCTCTATTCCCACAGCAGACGTGCCTCCAAGAGCTGGGCAAATGCCATAATCTTTGTCTTGCAGGCTGTCCCTGCAATCCTGGCAACGTGATAGATGTACCATTGTCTCTCTTTACTTCACTGGAGGTAGGATAAGTTCTACAGCTTTTATTGCCAAACAGGGGAGCATAGGCAACTCATTGGCCATTGTCTGTAATGGAGTCCCAGCCACACTGACAGCTTTTGGATGAAAGATTTCTGCCATGATGTTGGATGCACGCTTCATTGTTAGGTTTACAGAGTGGCCAGGGATGTGTCTTTAATGGTACCATGTGCATCTTAGGTATCTTCCAGAGCTTTGCAATTGGCCCTATGGCCGATGGTTGGAAAATCTTAAAGTCAAACCTTCCAGTACATTGACTTTGTGACCTACCCTGCATGTAACTGTATATCACTCCCAGATGAGCAGCAAAAGATCATGAAGGAAAATGTGTTGGTTACTGTTGTGGATATGTGCACCGAATCACAGATGTGCCTTATATTGTATTATTACTATTCCTTGAAGTCATGTGGTGACCTCATGATCTGCACAGGTGTTTCCTTGATTGATGTTTTAGTTATAATTGTCATTCCACTCATACTTGGTAGTAGTGTGATGGCATCTTGATCGCGGGTAGCGGACAGATGAGTTTATTGTATTGGAAAACAGATGTTTCTTTTCATAGCTGAAGATTGGGCATATACGCTAGGTGTTCCTTGAAGATACTGGGGTTTCCTATGCTCAGAGCCTCCAACACAAACCCACTGCATGTGCAGCGTCTCCCAGTACCAGTTGGGGGTGGGCAGCTGGCCGGTGGAATTACTGTGATGAAGATGCTTTATGATGTTTGCTGTGTCATGAGCCATAAGACACTTGGACTTTGACCTGGGAACCGCCTGTCTTCTGCCAGTATTGGAAGATTGTTACAGACCAACGGGTTACAATATAGAATGTGTGTCATCTTGGAAGTTTTATATTTATTGAGATTATCCATGGACTTTATTCAAAACAAAATAGATGTTCATAGGTCTGTTTCTTGTTTGTTCATTTACATTGTTGTTTTGATTATACACATAAGTGAATATGTATGGTATTTATCTTTGAATCTCTGACTTAGTTCACATCGCATAATTACTTCTGGGTCAAACCTCATTATCACAAATGCAAGACACAATGAAAAAAGCAGAAAGAGACTCACAAATACAAGGAATAGCCTGATCGTTACCAGTGTGGAATGGAGAAGGATGATGGGCATCATGAGGAGGTGGGAATGGGAAGTAGAGGCTTCCATGGGGTGG